ATGTACGTATGTATGCATGTATGTATGCATGTACGTATGTATATTCTCTCACAAACATATGAGCACATATTAATTGCTTTTTTCCACAAGCAATGAACAGATGAAAAAAATCAACATTGATAATAATATCTGCTGTTCTGCAAATGTGTTGAATAAAAACACAATGTGTCTAATATGCTGCACACATATCATACTTATATAAAAGTGACAAGTTATATTATATGAGTCTGCAAGTTTCTTAATTAATAACTTAATAAATGGACATCTTTATAAAATTTTGAGCAGTGAATGCACAGTCACGGATTCAGAATATATTTTCGTAGAACAAAAGCAAGCGAACAATTGCAGAAACTGCAAAGATTGAAAGAACGTAATAGCGAGTTGGACGAGTACCAGAACGGTGATATTCACCGAAAGAACGTCACCTCGGAAGAAATTTGGAAAAGGCACAAGAGGCATTAATTTTCGTCTCCTGCTCTCGTAAAACGTCAGAGGTAAATTCAGATGTAAACACAAACGTGATGCTTGCATCTTACTACGTTGCATTTCAACTTAGGAAAAGCGTAGAAAATTTCGGTACTAAAACACGATTGTTCACTGTTCAGTTGCAAGTGCATTGGAAGACGTCAATCGAGACAGTTCGAAACAGACAACGTAAACCTTCCGTGTGTAAAGGTATTCGTGTGCACAAGTATGTTTATCGCTCGTTCGACCCGAGTGATGCTTCTGTGTATGATGTCAGAGTCTATCTTTGGAGCGGAGTGGATGACCACGCGCGAACCAGACCGCGCATCTGCGCACAAGCTCGCGGAAATCTCGCTGAAATTTGTGTGCTTAGAATCGAATTAAGGTCCATTTATATCCTACTATATCGTCATGCACGATAACCCTTCTTTATGTACATTTTATGAACCATTTTGTTGCGATTCTACGGTCCGGTGTGATCAATGTATCTCGTATGATATATTGGAGGGTGCGTGTTGAGCTATCTGTTAGGGTGATGGGGTGGTAGAGATTTGAGGGTGTTAGGTGGCAATTTGAAAATGGGGAGAGTTTTGTAGATTCCCGAAATTCGTAAATTTTCAAAATCTCAAATCTCCTATTCTTCTAATTAGCAGATTCTCAAATCCTTTTATTCTACAAATTTGCAAAGTTCTAATCCCTCAATTCCTCAAATTTGCAAATTGCAAATGTCCCAATTCTCAAACTTCCAAATTTTAACACTCGCAATTCTCAAATCCCCCAAATTCTCACATTTTCAAATTCCAAATTCCCCAATTCCACAAATTTCCAAATTCCAAATCCCCCAATTCTCAAATCTCCCAAATCTTCCAAGTTCCAAATCTTCCAAATTCCAACTCTCTCAAATCCCAACTCTTCCAAATCCCAAATCTCCCAAGTTATTCCTCAAATTTGCAAATTGCAAATGTCCCAATTCTCAAACTTCCAAATTTTAACACTCGCAATTCTCAAATCCCCCAAATTCTCACATTTTCAAATTCCAAATTCCCCAATTCCACAAATTTCCAAATTCCAAATCCCCCAATTCTCAAATCTCCCAAATCTTCCAAGTTCCAAATCTTCCAAATTCCAACTCTCCCAAATTCCAACTCTCCCAAATCCCAAATCTCCCAAGTTCCAAATCTTCAAAGTCCCAAATCTCCCAAATTCCAACTCTCCCAAATCCCAAATCTCCCAAGTTCCAAATCTCCCAAGTTCCAAATCTTCCAAATCCCAAATCTCCCAAGTTCCAAATCTTCCAAATCCCAAATCTCCCAAATTCCAACTCTCCCAAATCCCAACTCTTCCAAATCCCAAATCTCTCCAGTCCCAAATCTCCCAAATTCCAACTCTCCCAAATCCCAAATCTCCCAAGTTCCAAATCTCCCAAATCCCAAATCTCCCAAATCCCAAATCTCCCAAATCCCAAATCTCCCAAATCCCAAATCTCCCAAATCCCAAATCTCCCAAATCCCAAATCTCCCAAATCCCAAATCTCCCAAATCCCAAATCTCCCAAATCCCAAATCTCCCAAATCCCAAATCTCCCAAATCCCAAATCTCCCAAATCCCAAATCTCCCAAATCCCAAATCTCCCAAATCCCAAATCTCCCAAATCCCAAATCTCCCAAATCCCAAATCTCCCAAATCCCAAATCTCCCAAATCCCAAATCTCCCAAATCCCAAATCTCCCAAATCCCAAATCTCCCAATCCCCCAATTCCCCAAATCCCGAATCCCCCAATTCTCCTCCAGTTATATCGCAACCTCTATACAGTTCGTTTCAAAAGAAACTTCGCATCTCTCACCTACATCGATCACAAAGACAACGAAAAAAGAACAAAGCAATAAAGAGTCACTAAAGCGTTGTACATCATGGGTTTGTGGTCACTCGATTCGGTAACGCGAGGACCTAATCGATACCGATCTCGGGAATCGTCGATCACAGAGGCCGTGTAGTGAAACTCGGACGCGGCTCGAATACGTAATTACCGCGGAAATAGTATACCAACCGGCTGGTCAACGGCATAAATATAAATACCGCGGTCGGCCGTTGTGCAAGTAAGTCGAGCCACGACACGCAGAATCGGTGAGTCAAGTTGTGACGCCACTCCGCTTCGAGAACCACTTTCTATCCGTCGTACTCGCGACATTCCGCTTCTCGAGCATTGACTTTTGGGTCTTTCGAAAAAACTGACAAGGAAACTGGAAGGACGAGCTCGAACTCTTTTACGTTTCAACTTCATACATCTTATTATGAATCTCCCTGTATATGGCTTTCGATAGTCTTTTTTAAATTTTAATCCTTTATGCCCCTCATTGAGAAAAATGCAAAAAAAGAATTTGTTTAAATTTTTTGACATTTCATGACAAATTGACGAAGTTATGAAAAATATTTTAAAATAGCCCAATCCTTCGTGAATAAAACAAAAAAAGGTTTAGATAAATCGGTTGAGTAGTTTCTGAGAAAAAAATTCTTAAGTGAACCCTATTTTTTGAACCCACGAGTTCAAGTCTTTGTTGATCAGTTTCAACTTTTTTATAAATTATATAATTATATTTGTAAATTGTATATAGTATATATAGTATAAATCCCCAACTGGTATTCTTTAGGTAAAGAAAACAATGTTAGATAATTGTCAGTCTATACAAGAACCAGTGCAAGTGGCTGTTAGGTAATTGGTCGTTAGGTAATTGGCGGTCAGGAAAATATCGCTCGAATTATTAGACAAATCATCACCTGTGCCTTGTTAGATTATTTAACAAGTGAATACGTGATTAGATAATTACTGTCAGCACCTTGTTACACAATTACCTGTCATGTAAATGCCAGTCAGATAATTGTCAGGTAAATATCAGACAATTAACTGTCTGCTAAATATAAGTCAGATAATTATCACACATATCGTCACTTATATTTTGTCAAATATTAGAGATTACTTATTAGTTTAATACCTTGTTAGAAAGATAAAAATATCATACAAACTGTCAGGTAAATATCAGACAATTAACTGTCGGGTAAATATCAGTCAGACAATTATCAGACATATTTTCAATTATATTTTGTTAAATATATTTTGATAAATACCTTGTTAAAAAGACAGAAATATTATACGGACTGTCAGTTAAATATCAGACAATTAACTGTCGGGTAAATATCAGTCAGACAATTATCAGACATATCATCACTTATATTTTGTTAAATAACACAGATTACCTGTTAGATAAATACCTTGTCAGAACGACAAAAATATCATACAAACTGTCAGTTAAATATCAGACAATTAGCTGTCAGGTAAATATCAGTCTAACAATTATTAAACACATAACCACTTACATTTAGTTAAAAATTACAGATTACCTATTAAGTGAATACCTCGTCAGATAGTTTCTTGTCAGCGGTGAAATAACTAACAGTCAGATAAGCACCAGTCAGACAATTACCAGTCGCCAATATTTTGTCAGATAGTCTAACCGTCGAATAAGTACCAGCGAGATAATTAACTGTCAGATAACAACCAACGAGATAATTACCATCCGCTATCAACGTGCACGTCAACAAACTGATAATGATAAACGCGATGAAAGCTCAGTTTTTCAATTCTCAAGCACAACACAATTTCAATCGAAGACTCATCGCTTCCCTGAACATAATCATCGATAAATTGCGCCACAAACAGTAACCTGGATTGTCATCAAAAGGAAAACGCTGGACGTTCATGAATCACGGTCAGAATTTCGCGCGACGTCATGCTCGCGATTAAACCTGCGCTGACGTTCTACGCGAAAACTTGCGCAAGGACATCCCCCGCATAACGATTTCTTTCGTAATTATCTGCTTAATCGTTCCTCCACGTATGCGATATTCTGCGGGAACGGCGATTCGGCTAATCTCGGCCGAAATCGCTAGAAGTGATTCACGGATAACAATTGCTCATTTCGGGTTAAAAATGACATATGTAAACCATGTGACATGGGTAAAATATAGAACTGGCTATACGATTCCTATGAGACTGTTTACAGAAATAATTTATTAGATATATTTTCAAGGTGGGATCGGTAGCAGAACTACTGAAATAGGACTGAAGTATCAAATGAAGTATTCGTCGCGAGTCACCGTTTACCAATTTAGACTTGCATGTGACTGACATTTTTCTGAGATCATTCTACACCTCTTTGTTCTTTATTTTCGCGGTCAAAGACGGAGACAGACAATAGCGTGAGCGCAGAACAAAAATGTACATCGAATCTCAAACTGCAGATTGCAGCTCATTAGCTACACATGTGTATAATAGTTCTAGCTTAGGTATATCTTAGTTAGTATAACAGTTCGCTTAGGTAAAATTAGATTATAGAGAAGGCTCCAGATTTATCACAACAATTATTTCTGAATCAGTCTGATTTTTATCTGAACAATACTCGAAGTGCAGATAGAACTTTCAGAGTCAGCAATGTTTGATAAAAGAGTTGAATGTAAAGGTGGAGAGATAAACAGACTTACCGATCGATGTAAATTTGAATCTCTTGATCCTAGGCAGAGTGGCAGTAGTGCAAACACGCGTCAAGGCTGGCATATTGTTCCCTCTCTCTAATAACGTGTTCGGACGAGAACGACTCGATGATGTTTCCAGTTCTGGGACAGCGGCTCGTTTGACGGCTCTTTCCTCGGTGCCAGTCACCTCTACGGCTAATGAACGCATCCTCGCGTGTAATACCGTGACGTGCTGTGTTGTATCGCGCGTGTGTCATTAGGCCGTGATACGAATCGCGTGTCATTAATTCGTCGCGACAATTGCAAAATAGTCGGCGTTAATTCCAAGTTGAGGAGTTGAGATAATGAACAATGTAGAGTAGGGTGTGGCAATGCGTCGTGCATGTATTTTGCATAAGAATGACATGCTTTTGGATTTTTGAGGTTTAACTTGCAAAGTTTTGCAATTTTCAAGTTTTGCAATTTTTTAAATTTAAAGATTTCTGTGTTTATGAGATTTTAAATTTTTAAGTTTCCAACATTTCAAATTTCCAAACTTCACATCTTAAACTTCTAAAATGTCAAGTTTCTAGATTTTCAAATTTCTGAACATTCACATTTCCAAATTTCTGAAATGTCAAGCTCCTAAACTTCCAAATTCATAAACTTGAAAATTAGTAGATTTCAAACTCCAGCAAGTACCATATACTCACACTGTCCTCTACAATCCCAGAACCTCTAGACAAACTTCTCTGAAGTTTTATCAAGATTTTCCTAGGGAGATCCTAGTATCTCAAATTCATAATTACATTTGTACAAACTAGAAACTGTTGCCACACTTCACACTTATCTACATAAACAATTTTGCAAAATTTTTCCAATGAATTTAATTTGATTCGTCGATCGATATAATGTAACATACATAACGTGTAACATATATGATAATAACATACATGATAACATATATGTAACATGATATCATACATGTAATATAACATTACATGATAACATACATGTAACGTATATGATAACATATGTAACATGATATCATACATGTAATATAACATTACATGATAACATACATGTAACATATATGATAACATATGTAACATGATATCATACATGTAATATAACATTACATGATAACATACATGTAACATATATGATAACATATGTAACATGATATCATACATGTAATATAACATTACATGATAACATACATGTAACATATATGATAACATATGTAACATGATATCATACATGTAATATAACATTACATGATAACATACATGTAACATATATGATAACATATGTAACATGATATCATACATGTAATATAACATTACATGATAACATACATGTAACATATATGATAACATATGTAACATGATATCATACATGTAATATAACATTACATGATAACATACATG